GACTCCCTTCTTGGCAACCAAATGTAGTGGACTACGCATATATTAACCACATTGCTTTTATATTTTTATCCGATGTGGGACATAGACTAAACTTTGTCAAAAAGGTCGGTATAAGGAATGCCTCTAGTATTGGGCTTGGCGGCCTTTAATACCAGTTGGCCCTCCTTACATCGCAATCAACTATTTGAATATTCCCATATATAACAGAATGTAATACATACTTTTTTATCGATGTGGGACAGAGAGTTTTAACCATAGGCCATAACTTGTGATACCCCCTAATTTCGGAACACGGATTGATCAAGTCCGCGCACAAAATCAAGGGATATCAAAACAATTTAAGTATTTAACAAGCACAGAATACAAAGATGAATAATAAAGAATAAATAAACCGCTGAAGAAAACTAATAAATAAATATTACTTAATGATTCTCCAACAATTACAATTCGGAAATCCCATAACTCAAGGACCCCTTAAAACATTATCCAATAATCCAATACTATTTAAAAGTACACAAGATGAATAGACGAATGACAGTCTCCCAGCTGCGGATCCTCAACCTCAAGACTGGAACCTCTAATAACCTGAAAAATAAATCGTGGGTTAAACCCTACGAGCAAGTTCACTCTACCAGGCCTCTGAAAACCAATAAGCAGATCATCTCTGATCAAAACCAAACCTAATAAAGTTTTAACTTTAATAAAGCACGATATACATGTCTATATATAATTATATATACTATACTAATTACATCCATTAAAAGGTTTATTAAATTTCCATACCTATTAAATAATTATTAAAATAATATTCATACCTAGACCAATCTACCATTTCATTTTATAAAAACTCCTTTGACCTTAATCCCATCCTAGTCAGTTGTCTAATCATTTAAACAACAAATTATAATAAAAGAAATACTCTATTTAATCCCAACCCGATAATGATTTAAATTGTTTAAATCACATATCCAAAATCCAAGTTTTGACAAATCATCCACGTCTTCCCCAATATTATTTTATTAATGTAAAATAATACACTAACCAGTAAGTACTAAACTATTCTCATTTAAGAATATCTAACCCTAATCCAATCCATACATACAACAACCATAGATAATATTTTAATCATCTAACACATAACAACGTAATTATGCTTTGGCAAATCAACCATGCCATTGTAAATATTTTTATTTATATATTGGCAATTCAACCATGCCTCCATAAGTATATTTATTTATACATTGGCAATTCAACCACGCCTCCGTGTATGTATATTTATACATTGGCAATTCAACCATGCCTCCACAGGTATATTTATTCATACATTTAATTAGCAATTCATCCATGCTTTCCATATATGTATTCTATTCATACAAATATTTAGGTAATATATTTAATCATTTGACAATTCATCCATGCCCACACTTTAACCATGAATTAACTTTAAAATTAACAATACGCTAAATCATACATAGCCATCACATGCATATTATACGCATATCATTAATTTAACAACCAGCCTATTAAGATATGCCAAATAAGAATGATAATATTAATCATCTTAAATGATTTATATATATATATATACCTACACATATGTTATTTAATGTATATATGTGTTTAACACCTTCTTTAATACTCCTTGATTATTTAAAATCAATATACATACATACATACATACATATATATATATATATATATATATATATATATTCATCCTTCCATACAATTCATAGACAAATTAAACTATATATACCCATATATATATATATATATACACTTCCTTCCATAACAAATTATTAATTTATTATATTTACACAAATTAGTGCAACTAAATATGTCAGAAATAGTTTCCTTTAAATACTCCATATTGGTTTAAATAGTTTTCCGACACTTTCTCACTAAAACATAAATATCTCCTAGTAGGATGGGAATCTGATAATGAAATTGGTACCATTGGAAAGAAGACGAAAAATCCTTGAATTTGAGCTCAAGAATGACCCAATTTCGATTTAAAATGACTAAGTTATGACCGTTTTAATTTCTAGTGTCGAATTAGGCCAACATAGTTTCCCACGCGCGCCCACGTGCTTACTATGCACTTGCACGCGCTGGATTCAAGCCTCCTTGTGTGCTGGTATTGGCTAAGCTCTTTCAGCTACCGTGAGCTCACCACACTGAATTCATCATTTCCTTTATGCCGCATCCAATGGTCATAAATGAGTGCGCAAATGAACACGCTCACACTAGATTATTTTCTATTAACTATAATAGATCTAAGGTCCAGATCAGCGAGTGCACCATCTTCTCATGGTCTGCAATACACCAAATAATCCCATAGTTGACCAGACCACTTCTATGGTCTAGATACACATGCGCACTAAAGTTTTATGCGCCGCGATGCACCATATCAATTCACATAAGTTTAATTAATCAAATGGCCCTAATTGGCGTATACACCTTATTATCCTACACCGCACCGCACTGGATCAATTCTTTATTGTGCCGCCGCTCCACATGCGCCAGTTACCTAGTATATATATATATATATATATATATATATATATATATATATAATTATTTTCCTAACAAATAATAGGAAAATAAATCCTAATAAATTCCTAAAAATATCAGAAAAATTGCAGAAAATTACAGAACAATTCTAGAAAATAAAGAAACCATAATTAACTCTCTTGGGTCACAAATCCACCTATAGATTGATTTTAAAATATACATAACACCTATATATATCAATTAAAATCCAATAATCTAAAAATCAAATATAATAGTTTATACTTTTTAATTATTCCGATCTAACCATAATTTTTAAACAAATAAATTTAATTAAAGCCTTGATACTCAAGGTGAAATCCTTATGAGTTCTAAGAGGAAAGTTAGAGAAAACTCGCCTGAAGGTTTCGAAACGAAACCGACGCTTTAAGCTTTAATTATCTCTTCCAATTCCGACGTCCTCCTTTTCAGATCCGACCTCCTCCTTGTCAGCCCTTCTTCTTCCTCTCTCTCTGTCTGTTTTATTTTTCTAACGTGTAAAACCTTTAACCCTAAAGCCTTATGTGTATTTTTATACACCTTAAATTCCAAATCCTATTCCAACTAGTATTATGAATTAAAATAATAATCTTTAAATAATTTATATCTATAAACATATATATATATAAATATATATTCCTTCCATAATTAACTCATTAGTTAATTAAATCATATATACTTATAAATATCAATAAATATATATCTATATTTATATCTTTCCATAACAATTATTAATTAATTATATTTATATATAATTATATATATATATATATATATAAATATAATTGATACGAAAGTGATCATTTAAATAATTAAATAACCACGGACCTTCATTAATTAACCCAATAAGGTTTCATACAAGCCCAAGACCACATCTTTTGGTCCAACTTTCCTTAAGCCCAATCCAATTAATTTAAATAAATAAGATAATTAATTAAATACCGAAATTAAAATAACTAATTACATGAAGCACATAAACAAACAAGAATTTACAATTAAGTCATATAATACCAATAAAATCAACACACCAATAATTCAATCAATAATCAACCACACAAACAATCAATCATCATACATAATCACGAAATATAACTTAATTAAAATAAGATAATTAATCTAGCACTCAATAAAATAAAATAAATCATTGAAAAATAAAATAAAATAATTAATTCTAATTAATAAATCTTTTAAAATTATCGGGGTATTACATAACTCATGCTTTAAAAATCATTGTGATGAATGCTTTTTAATAACTTGGTTCTAACATTGCTTTGCATAAAAATTTCTTTGCATAAAAATTGCATAATGCGACTTGGCATGCATAAAAATCGCATAATCATAGAGTAGTATGGCCCCCATTTTTATGGAAATAAATAAATGGAGTAGAATTGTACTGAATATGATAGAAGCAAAATAAAGAAAAACTTGACTGACTGTGGGCATACGCAGCCTTATTTGTGAAGAATTCTTAGCAAAATTGACAAACTTATCTAATGGAAATACCTTTTAAGGTGTATTGCATTCCAAGGACGCGTAATGGGACGTCCGTCAGTTTCGGCCAAACGATATGCTCCCTTCCCTACTACTTCGGTAACCCAGTAGGGTCCGGTCCAATTAGGTTTCAGTTTATTTACATGAGCTGTCTCTTGCTTCAAAACCCAATCGCCTATCACAAAACTCGTGAATCTGACGCGTTTGTTATAACTGTTGCGTAACTGTTGCTGATATGAAGCAAGCCTAATTACTGCAGCATCCCCTTTTTCGTCCAGGAGATCGAGACTATGTTCGAGCTGCTGACTATTGTTTCCTTCAAGCAATAAGAATGTCCAAAGGGTTGGAACTGCCGCTTCGGTTGGGATCACAGCTCTGGATCCATAAACCATGGCAAAGGGACTTTCCCCCGTGGGCCGCCGTGGAGTGGTTCGGTACGCCCAAAGCACCAGAGGGAGATTCTCGTACCATTTTGTTTTGAGTTTCTCCAGCTTCTTCTTTAAACAACTAAAAATGGTTCGGTTAGTTATTTTAGCCTGTCCATTCCTTTGTGGATGACTGACTGGTTAGACAGAGAAGGGGGGGGGGGGGGGGGGAGAGAGAGGGGGGGCTCTTCAAGAATGAGATTTAACTGAGGGTTAGGGTAGAGAAAGATAGTGCTCTTGCACGAATGAGATTTCGTGAGGTTAGGGCTCCAAAAGGTCAAATGTATTAGAAAATGGACAAGGACATTTTAGGCAATACAGAAAATAAGGAGAAGGACATTTTAGGCAACACAAATTTTAAACAGTAAAAATTCATGTGCCACATAAGCAATTTAGTCAAACACATTTTTTTGAAACTATGGTACTTTGACTCAATGGATATGTAAATATGGGCCACTAAACCCATTTATATATAAAAATCCCTTTTTTAAAAGGAGACAGATAGTCCACTATTTTTGTTGACCAGTTTAAAATATATGTATTGGTCCGTCATTGAATAACATAACCTACTAGTGACTCTAATCCCTTTGCCTTTTTCAAACTTTGCCAATAATCCCAACAGTCAAAAAAAAAAAAAAAAAAAACTTTTCCAGTATCACACAATTTACACTGAATCTTAATGCATCTTAGATCATGATTCCGTCGAAAATGATATAATATTTGAGAAAGTCTTTCAATCGACGGTGGTGAAGCGCATAATCGAAATGAAGTCATACGACGACGTCCATAACCTAAAGAGATGAAACATCTCTGATTCAGGCGAGTAATAAATCAAAGACTTTTAAGTGCTGGAGATTGCTAATGTAGAAGAAGAAGAAGAAGAAAAAGTTGGAAGGAGACACAAATGGCGCAGAGGAAAACAAAGCCCCATTTTTCTGCCGGAGAAAATGGCGAAGACAGAGGTGGAGTTACTCAGAGAAAAAGCATCGAACCAGTCGACCACTGGGCTTTTCTGGTAATTTTCGTTTCTTTAGGATTTCAAGGGTTTCATGTGTTCTGATGTTGCTTCCACGATCTTGATATACTTTCATACATTCATGATTCATGTAATGTAGTATGCATATATGTGTATATGTATATGCGGGTTTCAAAATTTTTTTTTTTTGGTGTGTGTGTGTGGGGGGTAGATTGAGAAACATTTATTGGATAAACAATAGGGTTTCTCTGATTTAGTTTGTTGGTTTGCTTCTTGTATGGGAATAGTGCAATTCGTCGATAAATTTGCATCAATGATTCATAGTGGTTGTATTTGAGGGTTTTTGATTGTTTGTCGAGTTTCATATAAATACATGGATTTCTTGGTTTTTGATATTCCCAGGACTTTCTTTTCCGTCTTTTATTTTTCATCTTGATTATGGTCGTATTACTATCTTTCTTTGTGTTGTGGACCTGTGATGATTGTTCTCATTTCGGGTTTAAATATTAACATGTTTCAGTAGAATCATTATGAGATTTCATGTTTTATTAGATTTACACTGTTTCATATTGTTCGTTGCCATTCTGATTGTTCTAATATTCAAGACTATCTTGTTTATACATACCACTTTGTTTCCTCCCTGCTGATTGATGTGTACAGGATGAAATCGAAGCCCCCACGTGGGTAGATCTCACTTTTGAAGCTAACTCCACTTACCAAGACAAGTGAGTCTCTTTACAACTGGTTACGGACTATGTTAGATTTTGTGTTTTTACATTTAAGTGAATAATCTAACACCATATATTGATTCTGAATGTGTTATTTTGTTGCATTGCAGCGGTGATGATTGGTTCCACACAAGTCACTTGTAAGCATATTCTAATCACTAACCAACCTTTCAGCTCCTCAGTACTGACTTTTGATTTTTTTTTTTTATAATTAAATTAAGAACAGTTATGGGTGTCTAACTTGACTAAACTTCCAGGTTCCATCAACGTTCTTCCCGCCAGTTAATTTCTGCATTTTCTCATTCTGGTGAGGGGAGCAACTACTTAGACTTTGGGTTACAGGGGCCATCTTCCCCGAAGCTTCCGTCCTCAGTTTCAAAGTCAAGAGGCAAGCACTATAGAAGCAGGGAATGGGGTAGGAGCAATTGTGCACTTATATCTATTAAGCAGCACCCTGTCAAGAGTTTAATCAGTAAATCTTCACCTGGTAAGGAAATTAAATTCAAATCAAACTATAGGAAACCAAAAGGAAATGCTGGATCAGAAGCAAGTGTGGTTTGTCAGAGCAGTTTAACTGAAACTGCCGGATCAAATTATTCAAAACCCATATATAGTTTTGCGGATTCAAAAATTAGTTCAGGCTGTATAAAGGAAGGTAACAGCAACTCAACAAGTACCATTACTTGCAACAATAGTGCACAGGAGCAGCAGAAGGTCTTGGAGGTATCTAGTGGAACATTTGGTCACACGAGTGGACTATTATCAGCGGCTCTAAGGATTACTCTCAGAAAAAGTTGTTTTACAGGACAAGCATTAAGGATGGAGACAATTGGTGAGAGGCAATCACAAGGCCGTAAATCTTCTTCAGGAAAATCCAGCGTAGGTTCCTCTTCAAATCCTAGATATGATGTCAAGAACACGGCAGTGAACACGAGACATAACAAAGATAAAACCCCTGATAGTAGAAATGTTTTGAGAATGTCTCAAGCAACTGAAAACAAGGTTAAAGTGTCAAATGCATCCAAGACATCGAATGCTCAAGTGCAGGATATGAGTTCTAAATCTGGTGCAGGAGATAAAATAATTGCTGTGAGGACCATCCGTCAGGAAACTGCAAAATCAAAGGTGAGAAGCTGTGTGAAATTTGATTGAGACACCCTTACGATAAAATTTTCTCAAATTTGAACAACTATTCCTGACTTATTGATGAAACATGCATTTACAACTTTACACAATTCAGATTTTTGAGAAATCTATGAATTAATTCATCATCTAAACTTAGGTTATGAATAATATGCATCACTTCAGCTTCACTTGCATTCTGGATTTACTACTAGTAATCATCTTTTTCTGATTGATTTCTCTATTCTGATAAGATCATGTTAGCCAACAATTTTTTATTATGAAAGCATCATGGCCACATCATGAGCATGATTAACCAGGGTATGCATTAATTTTGCAGGTTCAATATCAGACTGTAAATGCAAAAGCGATGGTGCAAGATAGAGTCATTAGAGGCTCGCTGACTGCGGCTATAAAAGCAAAGGACACAGTGGGAGTCGGCAGGTATAATAAGCTGGCATGTGGTGGCAAAGAGAATAAAATAGGTAGAATGTCTGTGGGTCAGAAATTGAGCACCAGAGACAATGCTGTTGGAGGAATGGTTCAAGGCCAGAAAGTGACAAAGCCGAGTGTGCCACAAAAGAGTGACGGAACAGGATTGATTGGTCCTAAGGTTAGTTATTATTTAATTAATCGTGCTCTTGTCTGGTTATTGTCATTTCTTAACTTAATTTTCCTTAATTTGAAAACTATTTGCTTACTGAGCAATGCTTTATCTTTGAATCTAGAAGTTCTGCTAAACAAATTCGTTTGAGTGTTAGAAATTCAAAGAAGAGGAATTGACCTAATTTGCGGCGATAATTTGCTTTTGTGACCAACTATTCCTACATCATTAAGCTGCCACATTAGCAACTTAAACAAAAGGGTTTGGGAATGTGCGATGAATGATGCTGGGTTGTGGTCCGATTTTTTGGCCCAGGCTGTGTTCCGACTTGAACCAACCCGAATCATGGTAATTGTGCATATTTTTTTTCCTCACCCGCTTGGTTTTGGATGGGTTTTAACCCACTTCTTAGTTTCTATGGTAACCCAGTATATATAAGGGTGATAGATTTTGTATTGTATAGGTTGAATTTTGAAAATCCAGAAGAGAGACAGAGAGAGACAAAGGGTGTATTTGGGGTTAGGGATTGCGAGACTTGTACATCTCCTTTCTTTTTCACATAATGAACTCTCTTCGTCGCCTTTCGCCCATGACGTAATTTATAAGCCAAACCACGTTAAATCTTTGTGTTTAATGTGCTGTGTGTTTTCGTTTTGTTTTTATTGATAATTCTTGGTTGATTTCGTGTTTTGTCGTGGTTTGTCACAACAAATATAGTAGGAACTCCTAGAGGATTATTACTTATTAACATCTCTTGGATATCCTGTTATCTATATTGTTTTTATTTTTCACTTTGTGAAGATCCATATATGTTGCACTATTACAGATAACTGTTTTTTTTTTTTTTTTTCATAATTGGTTTTGTATTAAAAAAAAAAAGAAAAAGAAATATATACAGGTGCACAGAGGGCATACCCTTAGTAAACATTACTGGAAAGAATAAAAAAAATAGACATGGAAACAGTTCCAGTAAAATAAAGAAAATAAGGGAGTGGAAAATTATATAATGTCTCTAAGTGAGACATTATAAACATCAAGGACTTCTAGCAAAATTTTCCTAGCCACCTCTGAAGTAGTACTAGAGCTGTGTCCGTGTAATCTTCGATTTCTTTCTTGCCAAATGCTCCAAAAGCCAGCTACAAGTATAGTGTGTAACATTTTGCTGGTCCAAGATGAGAACCAGAGCAACAAATCATCCACTGAAATAATAGAATTTAAGTCCATATTCCAACCAAGAGTATCCTTCAACCAGTTCCAGAACTTTTTAGCAAAAGGGCATTGGACAAAAACATGATCTCTGGTATCTATCTGCTGTTGACAATTAGAGCATCTAGGAGCCAACTGCACACTCCTCTTTTGCAGATTAAACATTGTAGGTAACCTATCTTGGAACAAACATACTCCAAGGAATGACCATCTAGGCCGAGCTTTCCCCCAACAAATCTTGGACCATATAGCCTCTGGGTTAGATGTTCTACATCTCTTCCAAGCATTTTAAAAATTAAACTCACCTCCATTCCACAAAAGTCGGTCTGGTCTAGCATGAATAGAAAGTGTGTGTAAATAATCTTTAATAGGCCTGAAGATTTCATCCTGTAAAAGATTAAAATTCCATCTTCCTTCTATGATGAGACTTGACTGTTTTTCTTAGTGCTACTTTTATTAACCCAGAAGACATAGGAAAGAAATGAAATTTTATCACACTAATGTGGACTACAAATGGATTGGCTGTTATCACGTAATGCTTGAAGGCCCACTTTCTTATCCCACGACTTCTCAATAATCAATTAGAGCATGACTTATCAAAAAAAATAAATAATAATAATCTATTAGAGCATGATTGTTTATTGGATGACTTGGTTTGTCTTCTTTCTTCTTGTTCTTCTTTTGTTCAGTAATATTGTGAATGTTTGCCAAGTTTTACCCTATATACAATGTGGTACCTTTTTGCTACAACATGAGCCCAAAAGGTTATATATATGATATCTGCTGAGGGAAGCTGGGGCAAGGCAGCCCACTACAAAGCAATTAAGAAAAAAAAATGAAATAAAGAAGCTAAATTATGCTTTCAGAGCATCTGTTTCTTAATAATAAAGACTACTATGGAGGTCCTCACAAGTTGTGCTGTGCATTGTTGTAGTAGATAAGACTGTAATCATAGCTTTCCTGTTCGTTCTTTGTTTTGACAGATGTCTCTTATTTGTCTTGTTGGGATCTTATTTTGTATCTTTGACTGTAGAATAATATTACCTTAACCCTGTTACAACATGATAAACCGCACCAATTTTCTCATTTTGTATGTGCATATTCTCTTCAGGATAATGTTACTGACCAACTGCACATTATTTTATAATTTTTTAAGAGGGCTCTCGGTGCTATAGTTAGTTTGAACTCAGTATCTGACTTTTGTGGTCCTCTCTGTGAGCAGGGAAAAATCTGTGGCCGAAGTGCAGTAAAAACTTCAACAAATGCAAGTCAGAAGGTCCACTTTCGATAAGAGAGCAGTGCAGCTCAGTGTGTATAGTCTACTGTGTAAGCCTACTTCCCCCCTCTCTTTTTTTCCTTCTAAGCTGGAGGTTTCTGAACTGAATATTGTGGGAACAATGAGAAGCTAAAAGAATGAAACCTTTTCTGTAAAGATGGATTAAAACAGTAGCAAGGTTCTATTTTGGGATTCCCGGAGTGAATTTGGTGCATATTATTTTTATCGTCCTCTGACCGAGAGGAATTCCCCCCACCCCATCAACTGGTCAGTCTGTTCTATCCATGTTTTTAAGCTTGAAGTAGCATCCGTTCTCTTTAATATATATAGATTTGCAAAATAAAATTAGAAGTGGGCATGGAAACTGCAAAATGTAAGTTGTGATGAAAGGAGGGGAAAAAAAAGTAAGGAGAAAGCAACAATAAAAGGTCCTAATCCAAAATTTAAACATCAGATAGTCTTTATGCCATTGTCTTTCGTCTACCATAAAGCATAGAATGCCTTTAAAGCCTCAGCTGAAAGTTTTAGATGAACCATTAAGGGCTTTACTGCTCCAAAGTGTTAGAACTGTATTCAGGTTGCTCAAGCTTGGCTTGTTTATTCTGGTAAACATGACATGCCTAACGAAGCTCAAGTCAGAGGATGTAAAACGCTTAGGCGTCTGGCTTTTTAATAAATACATCAGATCATCTCTTCTAAATCTCACAAATGCTGAGCCACTTTATTGGAGGTCTGACTTTACACCATGACATGATTCTACTTGAACACTTGTCAGGGTGGTTCTAGGTGAGATTAATTGACCTTTAACATATTTGTTATTGGTAAAATGGCTTAATCCAAGCCAATTAGACTCGAACAAAGTTTGCAAAAGGCTCAATTGTTATCTGCATTTTTGTTGCAAGTTGCACCCATGTGATGCCATTTTTTCCCCTGCGTAGGTGAGGGAAAATTATTGAATTTACTATTTATTTTTGGGAGATTTAATAATGTCTCCTCACTGTCATATTGGACTGTACACGTAATCAATAAAGTGACAGGTCCTACAAAAAAAATGGTAGATTGATCAGTCGGTTGTTGAGTAATTGATGCATGCTAAGCTATTATGTTATTAAGAGGCAAGGTGTACGGACCAATTGACAGGTCACTTTGGAAGGAATTCAAAGACTCCTGCGGTTGGAGCTCCCAAAAAAGGTGAAAGGAAACCACCTTTTTTTTTCCACGGATAACATCAAGTAGATGCAGCCAAACACATTAGCCAAATTGAAAGAGAAAATCCAAACAGCCCTTTTCTGCGCATTTTCTCGTGAACTAAAAATGGGGTCACTTCTCTTTTCTTTTGTGGTGCAGTAGTAACAAGCACCTTGAGTGGTTGTTAGATTCACCGTAGCTGTCTAACTACTGTACGATGAACTGTTGGCCGTAGGATCATTTGCTTAAATCGCAAAATCAAACGACTTTATCATTGACACGTGCCCTTCCGGACCCATCTGCTACATATATTCCCACCACACATGTGATACCTTGATTACTGGAAAAATCTTAAATTATTAAAGAGATGGTACACGTGTTTTTATATAAATATCTCTAGGATATCCTCCTGTTTCGGAAATTGAATTATTGGAAAAATCTTAAATGATTAATGAGTTTATTGTTTGAAATTGAATTATATTTTTGTGGCTCATTTTGTTGAAAATGTAAAAACACGTAAATTTTCATTAAATTTTTCCAATAATTCAATGTCGGAAACAGGAGGATATCCTAAAATATTCGAATATTCGGATTTGATCCTTTCCATTAAATTTTTTATCTCCAATTTCTCCCGGTCTAAATTTGACGATTATAAACTTCTTGGAATAAATTGTATGATACCAAACGTGAAGAATAATTACAAAAATGGTGATGCGACATAATTTTGATTGATAGATGGAAGTTTGGAAAGATTGGAAAGAGAAAAAAAAAAAAATACTTGAAGGAAGATCCAAATCCCACTAATAACGTAAGAGCATCTTGTTATTGAGTGGAGCCCAATCTATTTCTTTATATAATCATACATCGCATTCTTCGGGTTTTTGATTTTGTTGATGGTACTAATCAACTACAAGATCAAACTCTTGATCTCGCTGTTTTTATTTATTCGAAAAGGAAAATGACATGTTAGTATATATATGAGCTTCAATCAATCAAATCCAACTCACTAGAAATGAATCGAGCTTATTACTTACTAGTTTTTTTTTTTCGAAGCTATGTTCGTTAATTAACCAAACGTATAGAAATCAAACTTTGAATAATATAGCTTGACTCACTGGATTGATTTGAACCCATACCCTGATCTTATGGGAACAAACAAGCACAAAACTATGATGAATTATTAGCTGGGTGATGTTTCTATCAATATTAGTAGTGTGTGTGTGTGTGTGTGTGTGTGATAGAGAAGGAGAGAGGATAACGGCTCTTCACCAATCCCATTGAAATGTGTCATGCGTACTAGAGTATACATACAGATATATATAATTGATTATAATTGATTAACAAAAAAACAAAGAGACGAAGCTACATAGAACCTGTGTTTTTCGAACTTATTTGTGAATGAGAGACGTAGCAGCTCTCTATCTCTCTCTCTCTCTCTCTCTCTCCCTCTCTCTCTCTGCCCAACCCCGACCCTACCATACTCAATGTTGTGGTCCATTGCTTCTCTATTTTGTTCTCTTCTCTCTCTAAATTCCAAAAATACCCTTTCTATTTATATCACACACATTATAACATATCCAATCATTGATCCATGTATATATCTTCAGTACTGTTAACTTGATTCCTTGCATGTGTTAAAAAAGTTTTGAAGGAGTGCTCGACTTTTCCATACCAATATTTAGCTAATTAATGAGCTTCCGTACCTTGTTTGTTTATTTTGTTGTGACCCATAAATATTCTAGCTATGAGATGTGTAATTTGAGGCCTTATACAAATTTTGTGGCTGTACTTCTTTATATTCCTTCCAGTCTTAAATTAAATATTTATTTTTTTGATCTTTAATTGTCTCAAAGTAAATGTTACATTTAAAAAGTCAAAGTATTTTTTTTTTTTTTTTTGGTAACATTATTAATTTAATTTTCTTACATTGAACTTATAAAGAAGTAAATCATCACACCCTATGAACTCATATAGACATATTAGATAATTTATTCACTACCAATACAATAAAAGAAATTGTACAATAAAAGAAATATGACAATGTGAATTGGTCATTCTTGTTGGATACACTCCATATCCTCAACTTTCCCCCTATTTTTGTTAATTGGTTTAAGGCTTGTATTACCTATCCAGTGTTTTCAATCTCTATAAATGGTGAGCTACATGGGTTTTTCTAGGATACTAGAGGATTGGGGCAAGGTGACCCTCTGTCCCCCTTCCTCTTTGTTATTGTTATGGATGTTTTTTCTTCTATTACATAAGAGACTATTTACAATGATCCCCACTTCATTTACCACTAGAAATGCAAGAAAACCAAACTCTCTCATCTTATGTTTGCTGATGATCTCATGTTTTACTGTCATGGTGATATTCAGTCCCTCTATATCATAACCAAGTTAATTACTACATTTTCAGAGTTGTCTGGACTTTTCCCTAACCTATCCAAAAGCCTTCTGTTTATTGCTAATGTACCTGAGGACACCCAACAACTTATGATCAATTTGTGTGGTTCTGAGTTCGGGAACCTTCCTATTAGGTACCTTGGTATGCCTTTAAGCTCTATGAGGCACAATGTTAATGACTGTAGAATTCTAGTTGAAAGGGTCACAGTTAGAATTACCTGTTGGACAGCTAGATTCCTTTCATATACAGGTAGATTGCAGTTTATAAAGTCCATCCTACTCAACATGATTGGCTTTTGGCGTGACCTTTCTATCCTTCCTAAGATGGTGATTAATTAACTCAACATTGTCCTTAGAAACTTTCTATGGACAGGGGTCAACTTGAGAACTTCAGGAGCTCAGGTTGCTTGGTGGAATGTGTGCAAACCAAAAGATTTTGGGGGTGTGGGCATACCTCAATTAGCTGCTTTGAACCGCATCTCCATGCTCAGACATATCCGGAACTTGTTTAAAGACAGAGACCAATCCATTTGGTTTGAATGGGCTCATAAGAACCTCATCAAAAATCGAAGTTTCTGGATCTTGAAGCTTCTACAAGTGTGCTCTTGGAACTGGAGGATGCTCCTCCACCTTAGAGGGTTAGCCAGACCTTTTATCAAGCATATGATTGGGGATGGGAAGGATGTTTCAATTTGTCATGATTATTGACTTTCAATATTAGGCCCCCTTGACACCAGAATCGATCATAACCTCATTGCTTATTCCCAGTGGGAAGATTGGGCAAAGGTACAATGTTTTATTAGACATGATCAGTGGAGAATTCCACGTTTGTTCAGAGAAATCATTCCCTTCATTGGAACTACAAAGCAGCTTCCTATGTTGATTGCAGGATCACATGACTCTGTCACTTGGATCCTTTCCTCTATTGGTAGCTTTCACCTAGCTACCACCTACAAAGCTCTTATCTCTTCTTCCCCTTCCATCTTATGGCATTCTAGTATCTGGTTTTCAAACCATATTCCGCGGTATTCTTTCATCGCTCGGGTTACTTTTAGTCACAATCTCAAGACTAGGGACAGTCCGGCTCTGGCAAAGAAAATTGCTCCAAATTACTGCTCTCTATGCCTTGCTGCTGCCGAGAGTCACCACCTCTTTTTCAAGTGTATCAAAGCTCCAGATGGTTATGTGTACAAGCTTTGTCTCACTATATTTGTGTATTTCATATGGAGGGAGAGGAATAGGCGAAATGCCATGAATCCAGTGGCTTCCACTGCTTCGATTATTAAGTTGATCTATACCAACGTAAGGAATCGTCTCATGTCCTGCAAACTGCGTGATTCGAAGGCTGCGAGAACCATTGCAGCTGCATGGAGTCTTCCTAGTTCAGTTTTTGGTGAGGGGCAATAACGTTGTTTTGCTCGTTGCTGCTGCAACTCTGTTTCTATAGTTGCAGTAGCAACAGGTTTCGATTTACCTGGTTGGGCCATTTGTGGCTGGTTGGGTTTTGTTGCCTTTGCGCCTTTAGCCAGTCCCCTTGTGCAGTTTGTTTTTCCTTTTTAATGTAAAGATTTACAGAAAAAATAAAAATAAAATAAAAGAAATATTAAAATTCCATTCATTTAAAGAAAAAAAAAAAAAAAAAATTCTCGAAAAAAGACATTTAATTTGAGATGAATAATTTTTAATTTTATTGGCAAGTAAGACGTCTTGTTAATGTATGATGTGTTCCTACTATTAATTATTAGATTTTGTAATATTAATGTACTAGCTATTACGGTTAAGTTAAGTCCCTGTGAAAGAATTAAGTTAAAATAAAAAAGTAAAAGGGAGAAAAAGGTAAAAGAATGGTGGTAAAAAAGGTCTTTAGCTTCACAAATTCGTGAAGAGAAGGTATTGTCCACATGGAGAGTTGTTTCTTGCTCCAATCATGCATGAGTGATGGGTCCTCATTCACACCAAACAAATACCATTAATTGAGAGATGCCATGACTGAAAAAAAACAAACATCTTTTCCGCTAGCTATAACTTTCTTTTTTTCTTCTTTTTTTTCAAATTTATCATCGACCATTAAAAAAGAGTGAGGCCAAGGGAATAAATCTTCACATGATCAACTACATTATTTTAGAATTGATGTAGCTTGTTGGAGCCACGCTCTAAGAAAATTTTTGTGGGTAATAAACATTAGTTACTGTAGTTAAAAAAAAAAAAACTGAGTTATCAAACATGAAAATGCAAATTTGAATAACAGAATAAACAATTTTATGCAAATGCTGTTAAAAGGTTTAATAAGAATCCGAGTTGCCTTTTTAGAACTCTTTAACTACATTGATATAATTCCTCTCATTTTGGATTTTTGATCGGACTTTGAAAGTGCAAGTCATTTAGGGGGTGTATTCTTAAAATTTGAAGAATGCCCACTAAATACTAAAAGTTGTTCGAGTGAGAGTGGGAGTGTGAGTCCCACATATTCCAATTTTTTACATTCTCATGATTTAGGGTGTATTATATTTAGAATCGGAACATGCAAGATATTAAATCTAGTTCTCAGTGCATTCATTGAAATTCAATTTAAACTTTAGAATGATTTGCAATAAATTTTTACAAATATATATATATATATATATATATAATTCCTTACATAGCAATAAATGGGCATTCAATCTTTATTGAAAGAAAAAAATAATAATAAATAGGTATTTAATCACCTACCGATTAAATCTAACCATTAAGATAAAAAGATTAAAAACAATAATAGTTTATAAAATGCAGAAAACACTCCTATAATATATTTACAGTGCATATCACACCCCTCGTGTACTAAATGATCATTTTTGTCATATTCAGTAAAATATGTATATAAATATAAGGGCAATTTAGTTAAACTATAACTTAAATATGTCAAAAGAGACTCTTTGCACTAAATTGAAACTTTAGGGTATTTTCTGTACATAAGAGGTGCGATATGCACACAATAAGTATACTATAAAGTTATTTTCTGCACTTGATCCATTTAATTATGGGTTAACTTTTAAAATAAAGTTCATATTAGTTCTTCATATTTTCTTTTTGAGTTATATCAAAATATTTTAAATTCATCTTTAAAAAAAAAATTTAATTTAATTTTATATATATTCAAACCTTAAAAAATAACTTAGATAATTTAAAAATAAATAATACATTAATTACATAGAGTTCGGATTTGCAGCCCGTGTAGGCCGGGTGACTCATACCGCAACAAAGGCACTGTGAATTTAGACTTAAATTTTTAAATAAATGAATAACGCTAACCAATTATCGCAACTAACATGGAACAAGGGAGCCAAAAACATTATTTTATGAATTGTAACTTATTACAAATCCAAGTGAAAAACGGATAAAATGCTTCGTCACTCTCCCTAGGACATGTCTAGCACATGTAATCATAACCACACAAATATATGGATTTTCAAATGAAGAACTAAAAGGACAAATGGACCATAGTATCATAGAAATAAAGGGGGCAAACTGGTAAACTCATGGGATATGTCTGTTCTCTCTCCCCATCACTCTCTGTAGCACCTCTATAATTGTTTGTGTCCACTTTTTAACATGTTTCAGACCAACCTCTCCTTCTAATCTGTGCATATACTCCCATATCTCCCAGAGCAAACCCTTCTCTCTCTCTCTCTCTCTCTCTCTCTAAGCAGACATGGCAAGCGAGCAAGAAAATTCACATGCTTACCATGACACCGACGAGGATGAGGAAGAAGAAGCAGAACAAGAATTAGGAGAATGTGAAGAGGAAGAGAGCTCCCAGCATGGCTGCGAAACCATGTACTCGGCGTGCTTTCCTCGTCGAAGGGGATGCTCACTAGGGAGGGTTTTGGACCCTGGAACTCCATGGATTCAAGAGTGGAACAGGGTTTTCCTCCTGGTGTGCGCCACCGGCCTTTTCCTGGATCCTCTCTTCTTCTATGCGCTCTCCATAAGCGAAAACTGCATGTGCTTCTTCGTGGATGGCTGGTTTGCCATCACTGTCACCGCTCTCCGGTGCATGACCGACGCCTTACACCTATGGAACATATGGCTGCACCTCAAGATGTCCAAGCGGACTTTTGCCATCGGAGGTGAGGATAGAAGCCGGCTACACGACACCAGTGCCCGGAAAGTGGCTCTCCGGTACCTCAAGGCCAAGAAGGGCTTCTTCTTTGATCTCTTTGTCATCCTTCCTCTACCCCAGGTGAGAATTCTTGATAATGATATATAATTATCATGCACATACACATTCATCAATTTAGCACATCATCATCATAATGATCCATCATATGATGTTCATGAGTTTTCGTTGTCATGGGCTATGGTGTTACAGCTAAGCTAGAGATGCTGTTGTTGTGGCTGAGGGCTTTTTGTACACTTGTACTATTACAGGAGACGACAAATACATGCATGGTCATCACTTGTTTTATGCATGCTAGCTAACATTTCTGGATGAACATGTGATATAACTATGTCTTTTCTTCACCTGTAGAAAGGGTATACTGCGGATGTAAATCTGCTGGGCTTTTGTGGATTGAATTAGTTTCGAAGAACTCCATGGAATATCCTCTTTTCCTAGAACTGAATATATATATACATATAATTAGTGTGGTCCTTAATGAAGACAGTGTTTTGTTTTTGAAACTCAAAATAGAACATGGCCCTTAATGAAGACAATGACATCTTCATTATTTTGGCCATCAAGTATAGTGATAGGAAACCACGAATTTAAAATAATTGAATTCAAGGTTGTATATTTTCAAGTATGTGTAATTCCAATATATGAGTTTGCTCCAATGAGTAAGTAGCATCGGGTAGGGTTGGATTTATCTTGATCGAGAGCAAATAATTCTTTGAGGGGGTGTATGTCAGCATCAATTAGAATATATATATATATATATATATATATATATATATATATATATATATAAGAAATTTAATAAAAATATTTAAAAAAAAGTAATGACAAGATATTGGGGAAAAAGGTTACCAAAAAGATATTGTAAAAGAAAAAAGACTGTAGAAATGTGAATTATGCATGAACGGTCATTTTCTAAGATATATATATATATATATATATATATATATATATATATATATATATATATAAAAGCCGAAGTCTCACTAGTAACCTATACATCAGCACAGTTGAAATCAATTTTGACAGCCTCACGATGTTGTTGGATTGATTTCCATAAACGCCACGGAATAGAAGTGTACTGACCAGAATTCAAGTATATAAAGAAGAAAAATTACATCATATATGAGAGACATCTTATGCACAGAGATTCATATTTTTAAAAGACAAAACTTTTATGGTTCAAAGAAGGAAAAATTTATTGTATGCTCAAATTAGTGGGAGACTTTTATGACTTGTTTAGTAGGAGTGAAGGAAGAAAGGGGTGTGGAATGAAAACAGAAAGGAATAAACAAATTTTCTTTGTTTGGCATAGATAATATAAGAAAAGAAATGACATATCATCCTTCATTATATAAAAATTTGATAGGGGAGGAAAAGTGGATTACTATAGAAGTATAAAATACCTCACTCAATCAGATATATTGTCTCTTACTAGGACAGAGGTTCTCATTAATATTGAGTTGAATTCCAGACAAGAAAAGTAGGTACCTGTATCAGAAAAGAGTAAATAGGGAGGTCCTCATCCATTAATTTTGCTTAATCATGTCACTATTTACCATATTCAATAAATGAGACCTGAGATCACGGTGAAACTCATTGTAACATTTTCTGTCTGAAAATTAAACCAAAGAGGAAAAAATAAAAATAAAAATAAAAATAAAAATAAAATAAAATAAAATTGTGGTCATCAACTCTAGCTGTATTAGATTAAGGCACTTTTAGCACAAAGTAGAATATATTTTTCAGAAATTTTCAGGGGCAAATTTTCAAGAAACTTTAGACTATCTGTTGCACATGAACAGAGGAGAATGCTTATATGAATTCGAAGTGGCATTTTTCCTTTTGACAATTCAAGTTATCATTTACTTTCTACTTGTGGTATATATATATATATATATATATATATGCACACACAAAATATGACTGTAATGGTCTAACTGAATTGAAATAATTCAGGTTGTACTATGGGTAGCAATCCCTGCATTGTTGGAAAAGGGTTTAACGACAGCAGTGATGACAGTGTTGTTAATAATGTTTCTGGTCCAATACCTCCCAAAAATCTATCACTCTGTTTGCCTCTTACGCCGAATGCAGAACCTCTCCGGCTACATTTTCGGCACCGTTTGGTGGGGAATCGCTCTCAACCTCATTGCATATTTTGTTGCATCACATGTAAGTCCATCTCTCAGCTGTCTTCCTTTTTCATGCATATATATGAATGAACTTCACTTTAAATTAAAGTTAATTGATGCGATATATCATATATATTGATATATATCTATATTGTGTTGGTGAGAACAAAATCTTCACTAGTGGTTTTTTTTGTCTGTAAAAGTAGGAATATTTAGGATTTGATGCATTAAAGTTATCTTTTATCTTCAAATCAAGCACTAATGTGCTCGTGAATTTCCTGAGTTTGTGACCAATCGTAAAAAGTGGAATAACTTAACTGACAAAAAATATGAACAAAGCATAAAAAGAAGAGGCAGAAAAATTTGCGACGGGCGCTGTGCATGATCGTGATACACGTGTACTACTTGATAACCAAATAATTTTGTTACCAATTTTGTAGAATATATAGGTCTACATACAACTCGATTATATATATATATATAGAGAGAGAGAGAGAGAGAGAGAGAGAGATGATTCAACTTGACCTATCTATAAGAACTTTATTAAATAATAATAATCATAATAATATAGTTTTGGTCCACACAGAACAGAACGAGAGTTAGTTCATTGAGGACATTTGCTTTCAAGGAATTTTTCTTTTTTAGTATTATACTCCTGTTAATTTTTTCTTATTGAATTATATACTAATATAATTTCACTATTATCTTATTGAAATTATTAAAAAATTCAATATTTCCTTCACTGGCATAACTACATAAGTTTTTGATTCGTTCTAATGTGACTTAAAGCTTACCCTGCAATTTTATCCAAGCCCCACGTGAATTGAGATTGTTAAGATTGGTTGTTTTGTATTCTGTTCAACTAACTCACAAACACGTGGAACCTACCATCCGACCTGAATTTACTTTTTGATTTCAAAGATAATAAATTTTTGGAGAAATATTTTTACATAATTAATTTGTTTAATAATGTGCGCGTTTGTGTCTGCGCGCGTGTATGTTGTGGAAGCATTTTTTGTTTTTTTTTTTTATTTTTTGCAGAGAATTACTTTCGGGATCATCAAAATGACTTCTAAAGTCTTTTCTACAATGTAGCTCTCATGGTCTTATGATTAGGAGAAGATGAATGAAACTGATCCAACTTAATTCTTGTCCAACTTTCTCATAAAAAGAAAAAGAAAAAAAAAAAAGCTTCTTTACAATGTGTACATGTTTTCTTTTTGTCATTCTTTTTCACACTTGATAGGGTCTAATATTAATGATGAGTGAGAAAGCATTAGTAATAGCATCAGGTATTGTGTTAGTCATTCAACTCTAGAGAGACACGTCAGGTTTTTAATTGGCCATCTATGAAAAGAGCGGTTGAGACTTGAGACTCGTCCGTTGCTATCAAAAAAAGAATGTTGGGCCCATTTACACTTGGTACCTGTGGCTGTGGGGAGTTCGTTGGCCGGCCAGTGTGTGGACCAGCCATTGGCGACCCACCCCACAATTTGACCATACAGGATGTTCTGGTGATTCCGCGCTCATCTTCTAATAATTACTTAGACAAAAAAAAATTACAAATGATTTGGCTAAGAATGATGTAAAACTTACGTGAGAGTTCAACATGGACACAATCAAAAGCTCTCGTGTCTAGAATTTCCTCTCTCTCATTCAGTCTCTGTGCTTTGCGCTTGAAGAATATTCAAATTTCCAATTAAGTAATGTGCATGCAGGCGGTGGGAGCATGCTGGTATTTGCTAGGGATCCAAAGGGCTGCAAAATGCCTGAAGGAGCAATGCAGAGGAGCAAATATTGGTTGTTCACCAAGAATATTGGCCTGTCAAGACCCCATTTACTATGGAGCAACCGACTTGGTGAGAGGCCGAACAAGACTGGCATGGGGGGAGAACAAAGAAGCAAGGTCTAAATGCCTAGAAGGTGACGATAAATTTGATTATGGAGCTTATAAATGGACTGTTCAACTTTTTACAAACGAAAGCCGTTTGGAGAAAATACTCTTTCCCATTTTTTGGGGCCTAATGACTTTGAGGTAGGTAATTCTTTTATCCCCTATTCTGGTGTACTATTACTACTATTGCAGTACTAAAGTTATATGTCTTGTTCTTGCTGGTATCAGTCTGATATTGTGTGTTTGTTGTTTGACACAGTACATTTGGGAATCTGGAGAGCACAACAGATTGCTTAGAAGTTGTTTTCATTATCATTGTTTTAACCACTGGGCTCCTTTTGGTCACTATGTTGATTGGAAATATCAAGGTACGAAATCTTTATTATGTAATTTGAATCACAAACACAATCACAGAGATCATAACATACTATGCTTCTTAGTGGATGACTATCAATACAATCCATGATAAGTACAGAGATCCAGCATGTAATTCATATAAAACAAATGATGATTTATTTATTTATATGAAGTGCTTATTTTTGTTCCATTTATATATGATCAGGTCATGTTTACTTGGTGATGTGGTCATCATTTTTAATTTTTTGTGTATGGGAATTCAGGTGTTTCTGCATGCAACCACATCAAAGAAACAGGCAATGCAGTTGAAGATGAGGAATATAGAGTGGTGGATGAGGAGGAGACACTTGCCAACAGGTTTCAGGCAGAGAGTGCGAAATTATGAGCGCCAACGCTGGGCAGCAATGCGTGGAGTGGACGAATGTGAGATGATTCGGAACCTCCCTGAAGGCCTTAGGAGGGACATCAAGTACCATCTCTGTTTGGACTTGGTGAGGCAGGTAAAAACATATGATACCAACTTCAGCTGGTACCCTGACATGACCAAAAGGACCATTTGAGTGACTATACATAATTGCTGATATTATGTTGGCATAAAGTGTTATGGACATCTTCATTACAGTTTATCTGCAAGATTTGAATATTAAGGGGTTTAAAATCTTGAGTGTGTTTGCAAGTTCTAATTATTTTAGATCTGTTTCAGGTACCCTTGTTTCAACACATGGATAACCTTGTCCTAGAGAATATCTGTGACCGCGTGAAGTCACTCATTTTCACAAAGGGAGAAACAGTGAGTTTCCAATTTAGAACTTCAAGTTTGAATGTTAATTACAATACTTGAAGTATTACTATGAGATGATTCTAAAGTTGGGAAATAATTTAAGTTAGTAAATTTATTTTAGAAGCTTAATTAGAGAACATTGTACATCGAACACTTATTGATCATGTTTGAGTCTTATTTAGATAACCAGAGAGGGTGATCCAGTTCAGAGAATGTTGTTCATAGTAAGAGGCCATCTACAAAGTAGCCAAGTACTAAGAGATGGTGTAAAAAGTTGCTGCATGCTAGGCCCTGGAAACTTTAGTGGTGATGAGCTTTTGTCATGGTGCCTCAGACGGCCTTTTGTTGAACGGCTACCACCATCTTCATCCACACTAGTCACCCTCGAAACCACAGAAGCATTTGGGCTAGAAGCCGAGGATGTGAAATATGTTACTGAACATTTCAGATACACATTTGTTAATGAGAAAGTTAAGAGAAGTGCGAGGTACTACTCTCCGGGGTGGAGAACTTGGGCAGCTGTGGCGATTCAGTTGTCTTGGAGGAGGTACAAACACCGGCTGACACTCACTTCGCTGTCATTCATAAGGCCGAGAAGGCCCTTGTCGCGGTGTTCTTCACTTGGGGAGGACAGACTCAGGCTTTACACAGCTCTATTGACTTCACCAAAGCCAAATCAGGATGATTTTGATTTTTGAAATCAATCAAAAGCTGTACAGTATGATTTGTGTGTGAAACTATAATAGTAATAATCATGTGTTAGTATTATGTATCATGTTCTTTCATTATTTCATTTTTGTTGAGACACAGGCTTGGTTCTGAATTATGAGAGTAAATTTGCAAACCTTCAGTTTACATGGATTGAATGGTTAATGATAGTTGATAGTGAATTCTGACTTTTGTAGTTGGGTGATGCTTCAATCATGGATCTTGAAGCTCGAATGCAATGGGTATTTAATAATTGTATTTATGCTCAGTTCATTAGATGTAAGGCACTTTTACAGATTAACCAAATTGCTTCGTCTGTCTGTGAAGCCCTATTTGTGCGAGTGAAATTTAATAGAAGTTTGTGCGCGCGCATGAGAAATTAATCGAATTAGAAAACTTAATAGATAAAAGGGTGAAACGCCTAAACAAACAGAGAAAATGGCACACCGGTCATTTCTTTACTGATAAAAAGAAGTCAGAGCAAAAGAAATTAGAGCCGTAGAAGAGTTTGTTACTGTTAATATGGCCCTTCCTAAATATAAAGCATATTACAACTTTAATTATTAAAAAAAAGCATATTACAACTTTAATTATTTAAAAAAAAAAAATGAAGAAGAAAGTATTGTCACCCTAAAACCGCTGCCATAAGATTTCGTCAGTTTTGAATTCATCTCAAAGACTCGTATACATTCAGAGATTTAATTAAACATCTAAATGGAGTATTCGCCTCTTTGTTTTTTTTCCTATTGAAGTTTTCATAGGTGCTTTTGATTCTGGGTTTCGTAATGCTTTAGTGATACCATGTTATCACTACAACAGAGTCAATTAAATTTTTCTCCCTCAATTGTGAGATGATTTATATTCAGTTTGAATTCCAGTCGTTGTAACAATTGTTTCATGTTTTCTAAGCTAACTTGTTTTTTCAAGTTTAGCTTTAAATTTGTTTCCCTGTGTGTGTTCCGTTGCCTTTATGGACTTCAGCCTGTCTTTATGTAGTTATCTTTCTTGTTTATAAAATTTTCATTTAAAAGAAAAAAAAAATTACAATATGGATTTAACTGTTTATGCCCCAAAAGCTAGAAGGGTTTGTTAATAAACTACGTTATAAATTAATGTGAAAGTAGCGAGTTTGTTTATTTTGTTGATTGTGTGCCACGTGTTGAAAGAGGATTAGTTTCACCCATCTAGTCCACCAAACAAGAAAATACTAATTTGGATTTTAGTTTAAGATGTCTCCTCAAAGCCTGAGTCACATGATTATGATGAACAAAAATGAAAATACTTGGTATGAGACTAGAGAAAAAAATAATAATAATAATAATAAAATAAAAATTAACGGTATGTACAGTACGTTCGTTTTGCAAAAGGGAACCAATGAAACTCATCTCATTTTTTGCAGGGAGTACCTAAAGAAAGAAAAGACCAATAGCTTACACAATCAATTTCCAACAAGCTTCCTCACCTTTGGAAAATAATAATAATAATAATAAATTAATATTCAACTAGCTGTATGCTATGTTTGTTCGTATTGAATTGATGACTTGAATTAAAAATTAAAAAAAAAAATAATTCTATCTTTATACTAATTTTTTTTTTTTTAAATTTTAAATTCTTATATATGTGCTTTCAAACGCAATATATATATATATATAAATTCACATTCACACTGCCCTCACAATTAAGGCAGTGAATGCAATATGTGGTGGTCCGTTGGGATCGATACATTTGGTGTCTGTTGGGATCGATACGTGGGACGTTGCTAGACATTTGGTGTCCGTTCCGTAACAAGGAAGGAAGGTGGGTTACACTTGCACCTCATTGTGACAGAAAATTTGCTTTTGAAAATGATGTAACACATGCATACACTTCACAGACATGTACATGTATATTTTATTATATATGTATATGTGCACGTATAGTAATTTTTCATTCTTTAAAATTGAGATTCCTTGTCAAGGCTTCCTTACACGGAGGGTTTATTCACAGACACCCCGTAGGTCACGCTATGGATCTTCTAAATGAGAATTGAATTCTCTTCTATACAAATATTTGTACTTTATTCTGCATCGGTAACAATATTATACTTATCAGTTAAGAATGTAATAATACTATTACATTGCCCGCTGCACGTCCCTTTGGTAGTATCAAATTTGACATGTATGAGTTTACGGAACAACACAATGCTTATATGCATCTTTCATGCTATTAAGAGTTTAATAACCCATGCTGATAATTTAGAATGAACATTTAGAATTATTTACATGTTTGATAACAGTGTGGCCCCCAACATTTTCAAAATTTTGAAAAATTTTAGACGAACTTTCAAATGCAAGGTCCTTTATACATAAGGTTTTGTATTGAAATTTTTATTAAAATGAGATAATAAACACAAAATGTATTAATGTTGAAAACACAAGAAATAAAATCCGATTTTTGTGTTTTATAAAGAGCACAATCTAATTTACATAAAAAATAAAAAAAAAAAAATTAAAAATATTCTACACAAGTTAGTCACAAAAATCAAAATTCAACTTAATTAATATTACAATAAATGTGATCGTCTTACATTTTGAGCTGCAAAATTGTGAATTAAAGTACTCCAATTAAGTTTCTCCAACATATATGGTCTACGTAGATTGATTTAATCAACTTTAACTTATCTAAGCAAATGCAACTGTAACTGGGATAGTCAATAATACTCTATATCAGGGGCGGAACCAGAAATTAAATTCAATGGGGCACAGTATAAAAAATAAAATAAATAATAATAAAATAAAATAATAAAATAAAATAAATTCAATAATCACAACAATAAATAGAGATTCTATAAATTAAGAGACAAAGAAGAAAAATTACTCAATATAATATGTCAATCAATGAGTAATTTAAGAAAGATAAATAATTAACAAAAAAATTAAAAAGAAAAGAAAAATGATAGAATTTTGAAAGGGGAAAAAATTTGTAGTTTGATTCAAAAAGGAAATTTTGACTTTTTAAAAAGAAATTAAACGAATGAATTTAAAGAGTAAAAAAAGAAAGAAATACAAAATTTAAGAGATAATTTTAGAAAATAAAATTTTTAGGTGGGTTATATGAATTTAATCGCATATACATGTAAAATTATATAAATTTAGTATATATATTATAGTAAACGGGGTCAGGACAGGGAGGCACGTGTCCCCTGGGTATACATTGGCTCCGCCCCTGCTCTATATGCAATCCAAATATTTGGAAAACAATAACCTAACCTTTTTATAACATTTAATATCTCAAGACTTGTAACTTTGAAATAATTTTGTCCCATCAATATCAGAAATCATGTAATGTTTTCAGAAATTTTCAAGGTGTTTTTTGGAGAATGTGACAGTTAATTGCATTCACAAGTTAAAAATTTTGGTTGTTTTAGACTAGGTTTAATCGGAGCCTACCATGCATGCACATGAGTCCAAAAATAATATAATAAAAAAATTTATGAGTTTAAATATAGAATTTTTTAATTTTGATAGAAGGGGACAGAAACAAATTATTGTTATTATACAAATGGTTGTATTATATATATATATATAATACAACCATTTGTATAATATATATTATAAGTAGGTATATTTATAATACAACCATTTGTATAATATATATTATAAGTAGGTATATTTATATATATATATATATATATAATACAACCATTTGTATAATATATATTATAAGTAGGTATATTTATTACCATAAAAAAAATTTAAATTATTTATTACCATAAATTTACATAATATATAAATATATATATTTTTTAAATTAAGAAAATTATGATCATGTATGCATATTACTATATTAGTATTATGATTGCCTTCAAGCCCGTCCCTAATATAACAACCCCATGCCAGAGCATCCCACCTCGTATTATATATATTTGATTGTATGTGTATATATATATATATATATTATAAGTAGGTATATTTATTACCATAAAAAAAATTTAAATTATTTATTACCATAAATTTACATAATATATAAATATATATATTTTTTAAATTAAGAAAATTATGATCATGTATGCATATTACTATATTAGTATTATGATTGCCTTCAAGCCCGTCCCTAATATAACAACCCCATGCCAGAGCATCCCACCTCGTATTATATATATTTGATTGTATGTAGTTTAGATTGTATGTCAAGGTTTTGTTAGTCAGAACAGGGTGGTGGCCTGACAATCTGACATACTGACATCCAACCCAACTAAGAAAAGCAACGTGTCACCGACACATTCGTGTCGGCAACGAAATCTTCCCAATACCTACCTATATTACTTTGATTTGATTACCATCTTTCACCGCCCATTCTATTATTCATTCATTTTTCTTCACACACACATCAAAAAACAGAAACAAACGACACATTAAAACAAATCCATCAAAAAACCAGAAACCCAATTTAAACTTCTCCTTCGCCACCTTTCTCTCCCTACCATCCACCCTCTTTCTCTCTCTCTCTCTCTCTCTCTCTCTCTCTCCCCCTCAATCCCTAGCTAGCTCCTTTCACATATTTCATACTACACGAACCTCTCTTTCTCTCTCTCTCTACAATATATTTTGTTTCATAATTTCTCTCTCATTCTCGAATCTAAAAAGAAAAGGATCTCTGCCTAGGATTAATTTTAATAATTAGGATAGACTGATCATACGTGCGAATTAATGGGGCGTGGTCTCTTTGCCTGCTTTGGCAGAGGCTCGTCCTCGTCCAAGAACGATTCTTTAGAAGCCACCACTGCCACTGCGGACATCTCTGCGGAGGAGCAGAGGAGGGGTGGGACGGTGGTGGTGGAGCTGTTCTCGTCGCAGGGCTGCGCCACCTCGCCTGAGGCGGAGCTGCTGTTGTCGAGAATTGGGAGGGGTGATTTTGAGCTGGAGGTGCCATTGATCGTGTTGGCATACCACGTGGACTACTGGGATTACACGGGGTGGAAGGACCCATTTGGGTCCAGTCAATGGACGGTCAGGCAAAAGGCTTACGTGGAGGCCCTGAATTTGGACACCATGTTTACACCTCAAGTGGTGGTCCAGGGTAAGGCCCAATGTGTTGGCACCGATCAGGACGCTGTCCTCTCCTGCATTGCATCTGCACCCAGACTCCCTGCTCCCACTTTCCAGGTTAGTAAATTAATTTTTTTTTTTTAGATTTATTTTTAATGTTAATTTTTTATTAATCTGAAGTAGTCCATCTTAAATTGGTTATGGCATTAATATGAAGTAATAGATTTACACAAAAATTTTATACTAATTATTTTTAACTCTAAAAACGTATCCCCTAATAACAATCAATTATATGTCATACCTAATGTCCTGTATAACTTTTACAAATCTACTTTATTAAGTTTACTTTGTGACAATCATGACAACTTTTACAAATCTACTTTATTAAGTTTACTTTGTGACAATCATGACAATTAAACCTCACGGCCCAATCTTCCTCAATTAGAAAAAAAATAATAATTTTTCCCTATATTTCACTTTTCCATCCCGTCAATAACAAAACAAAACTTTCACGCCCCACCGAGAACTTATAATAAATAATAAAAATAAGATTTAAGTATGTAAAAACTACATGATTAAAATATATATCTAATTAGTACATATTTATCTCATTATAATAGAATGTAAAAGGATAAAAAATCTTAAAAAACCCTAGAATCTACTGTATGATTAAAAGTGATTAATCAAACTATGTTTATTAAAAATATATATATAAATAAATAAAAGATGGTCGAGCCATTCTTACCTTGCAGCCAGTTACAAATTCTTCTCTATTGCACCCTAGAAAAGTAGGAAAGAAAGAGGCGTAAAGGAATGTGAGAGAACTAAGAGAACCGTGAGTGGGAAAGGAGGAGGAGAGAAAAATATGCTTACATGGCAGTGTAAAAGTACTGTGTAAAATACACAATCCTTTTGTACATTGGTGATGTGACAGTATATCTTAAGGAAAGGAAACTGCTAGAAATGAAAAAAATATTTACAAATCATATGTGACAGTAAAGGAATGTGAGAGAACTAAGAGAACCGTGAGTGGGAAAGGAGGAGGAGAGAAAAATATGCTTACATGGCAGTGTAAAAGTACTGTGTAAAATACACAATCCTTTTGTACATTGGTGATGTGACAGTATATCTTAAGGAAAGGAAACTGCTAGAAATGAAAAAAATATTTACAAATCATATGTGACAGTGTTATATTTTAGACTGCTGGAAATGCTCTCATTATTAGAGTTACCCACCAAATTTACTTGTCATTTATGATTTAGCACAAGGGATAAGTTCCTATACTCCATTACAAGAAATTAGTATTTTGGAATTAGAATAAAACAAATTTAATTTCACATTCTATGGAACTGAATTAATTTTTTTTTATATAAATATTGATTAATTTCTACCTAATTGAGTTAGAAAACTAACCATAATGAACATTTTATATATAAAACAGGCAACGTTTCAAAGGCCTACACCAGAGTCCCTGCAAGTATCCCTAACAGGAGCTTTGAGGACAAAGGTGGACAATCAGGGTGCGAATGTGATGGTGGCTCTGTACGAGAATGGTTTGGTGACTGACTGCCCCAAGGGGGAGAACAAAGGGAAAGTCCTGGCCAATGACTTCGTGGTTAGGAAGCTCGAAAAGCTCTGCTCTGTCAAAGATATCTCTGCCAAGAAGACTGTAAACGGAACTGTTAATTTTCCTCTATGGGAAAATTTCAATAACAGCAAATGTGGCGTCGCTGTCTTTGTTCAAGACAGCTCTCATCATATTTACGGTTCGCAGAAATTTCAGTTGCCGGACAATTTATAAGCACTGCTACTACTAGATTGTATGTTTTTCATGGTAGCTGCTATTATTTAGTATATGGCTTGTTATTTTTCTGATCACCAAATTTCAGCCTATATTTCTGGTTGTTATTTAGATGGCTTGTTCTGGTTTAGGTTCATAATGTTTTTCTCTTCTTTTTTTTTATATTATTTTTTTCTCTTTGTTTTTGAGTTTATGTTTAGGAGATTGGAAAGAATTTTTAATGACATGGAGTTGCTTTCGAGGTTTGGTACTAAACTGTATGTGTCTTTGAAATCTCTATGCTTGTGTTGGGAGAGCAAGAGGATGGGCGATTTTCATAGTTGGTTTTTTATTTGGACGAATTGCAAAAAACCCTAAATATGTTTAGCAAGGAACTCTCTCAACTATATTGAGGGGCATTTTAATTGACACCCATCCCTATCTAATTTTTTTGAACGAAATTACCCTCTTCGTCAACAGTTATTTTTATTTAATTTTTTTTCTCTAAGATGTGAAGAAGTGCACAACAAATTCCATCAAATTTACCTTAAAGTTTAACGCATTACTTTGGAAAGGCAGAAGAAGACAAGAAGATATGCAAGCTTAAAAATCCGTAGCTTCTTTTCCCAAGGTAGCTGGTTGAAGATCGCTTCTTTTATTAAGGTAGCTGGTTAAAGATATCGGTCACATCTACCAAATGTCATTTCTGATTGTACCTGATCGTGGGGTTACCCTCAAATCATATGAGATGAAGATCCAGAAACATGGTTTTCAAGGTGGCTCTTAGATGTCCAATTTTCCATGGGATAGCCTTCTCACTCTAGAATTCTAAACAAATAAGCTCTCCACTTCCAAAATAATATTCTACTAGTTCTGCGGCTTCTACCTCCCATCTAAATATCTAATGACACTAAATTTATGAGTGTCACACCAGCACCATTGGGAAACACTCGAGCATTAAAATCCCGAACTTTTCTGCGATGTCATACAAGTATCAATGAGGGAGAATCTGTTAGCCAAAGGCTCTGAATGGGAATAACTGTGTGCGGTTAGAGAGAGTAAAAAATATATATATATATTGATAAAGAGGGTAATTTCGTTCAAAAAATTTAGATAAAGATGGATGTTAGTTAAAATGCCCCCCTCAATATAGTTGAGAGGGGTTTCTTGTTAAACATATTCACAAGGGGTGTTTTTTTACAAGCAAGTGATAGTCAAGGGAGTTTTTTTGCAATTCACCCTTTTTTATTCTTGGCATTATTGCTAAACATCTTATATATTTAGACAAATAAATAAACCGATCCATTTGCCCCTATATTTACATTGGAATTCAAACTGAAATTCAATTTTTGACAAATTTGAATTGAGACTCCGAAATTGAATTTGAGGCTCAAATTCATGCAATCAGACACATCAATTATAATAATAGAAATCAGCTTCAATTTCCTGGGTTGTCATTCTAAAGTCAAATATAATTTATTACCAAAAGTTGCATCTTATCCAAACTCAAAAAATGCATTGTGATATCTGAATCACAAGTGTTGTTTGGCCGGAAAGAAAATTCATGTTCCTCCAGGGTCATAGCGTTCTGCCACAATACATTTTTACAGATTCACATTCATGCAGTAGGTGTGTGTATGTGTGTGTATGAGAGAGAGAGAGAGAGAGAGAGGGTTTCTCTGCCAGACAAGAAGCAGTTTGTTGAGTCTCTAGAGAGTAGGGACCCTCAATAGGGTCCCCAGAAACTCAAAAAGCATATAACCCTTAAGGGTTCTTCTGGAGCTCTATGCTTTACACTGCTTCTGTTAACTTTCTTTGATGCATCAAATGCACCCGAAAGGAGGCTTGCTTGAGTGGTTGATGACCATACCTCACTCCAACTGTGATTAATAGCGAATAATTTGGACACGAATGTATGATCTTTGAGTCCAAATGCAGCTCCAAGAGCAACAACAACACATGCCTTCTTGAGAAGCTTCATTTCCAAGTCCAAATGCACCCAAATTAAAAGTATGAAAACTCTCAATTTAGCATGTAAAGGTAGAAGATGATTAGATGTTTGTTGCAAAAGAGTGAAGGTATTAGGGTGAGACAAAAATGGTGCTTTGTAAAACAAAACCACCAGCAAAAACCAGGAACTCAGAGAGAGAGAGAGAGAGATTAGCTACTTAAGCGTGGCTTTAGTTTTTCAAGATTACATGTTCTCTTCAGATTGAAAGAGAGACGTTACTTTTGGGTGGCCTTAGTTTTGTCTTCATGTCCTATAAAGTTGAGTTGGGGGATAAGTGTGATGCAGTGAACAAGAACCTAAGGTACATTGTTCTCATTCCCATGCCATCTTTATCATTTTGTGTGATGGGACTCATGGGTCATTTCACTATTGGAATAGTTATCCCCACATCTCCCAGAAAAGGTCCCAACTGCCAAACCCTTCACGCAAGTATTTCACCCTTAAAATTTAATCCAATCTTAGAATTTCTCCATAATTTAGACTAACAGCCACAGGTGGCAATATAATTCAAGATATTCGCATTCCTCAACGACGATACCACTTTCAGAAGCAAGCTGAAAGGAACCCGAACCCGAACCCGAACCCGAACCCGAACCCGAACCCGAACCAAAACCAAAACCTCCAATACCATAGAATAGCAGTACAAGGTATATAACCCAAAGGTACTCCTATGCAGGTGTTGAGAGGAGAGAAACAACGACAAACCAACCCAACCACTGCCATTAATAATGCATTTAGGTAGAGGTAGAACACATCACAGTACAATTCAACTCAGCACAAGGATCATCTGTTTTCCAAATTGATAGCAAAGCTGTTCATGTGATGCTTGAGCTGATTAACAAAAAATTCTGACAGATGCTCACAATCATAAAATCGACAGAGTATTACAATCATGGATTTAGCTTATGCTATGGTCACTACAATATCATTTTGATAGAAAAGCAAAATCCATTATTTACAAGTAGAAGGGCATATAGCTCAAAGAAAGGCAACTTTATCAACATCCTTTTCAACTCAAGACCAATGACATAAAATGATATATTATTCTTCTTCTCTACATTATGCACTTGACCACCCCCCTCACCCTCCCCCTCCCTTTCCCCTGCCCCTCCATCCTCGTAAGGAACCCAAATACAGAGCACTTGCAACAAAAGCAAACAACACTTTACACCGAATCTACAGCCTCAACCTGCTGCCGGGCCAGGTATTTCTCCCTTCGCTCTTTCTATAAAAAAGAAGAAGAAGATGTTTAGAAAAAAAGAAAATGAAGAGAGTTGTGAACATTAACTGTGCCTGTAAAGACTGATATATTGTATAAAGAAGATTACCCATTCATCTATGACAAGCCCTTCTCCAACAACTCGTGGACCAGTGTCTGGTGGAGGTTTTTTGCGAGTTTCAAGTGCAGCCTCAGCTTCAGCCAACTGACGCTTCAGTTTTTCCAATGCCTAGATAAAGACAATCATTATGCCATTATTAGAAATTAATGAATACATTGCCATACAAACTATTAAAATTATTTGGTTTCTACTTACAGGACAGGGGCGCTCCGCGTCCAAGAATACAACACGCAAAATTCGCTCAACAGTCACTTGATCCTTTTGCTCATCGAACTGTATGGAAAAAAAAAAAAAAATCAAGCAACAAGAATGTAATTCAGCATTGCTACACAACTTCACAGCAATAGGAAAAACTTGCACACAACCACAAATTACAAGTCAAGCATATGATTAAGGTGGAAATGCCTACGACAGGTTACCAATCTAATCACATCCAGAGAAATATGAAGTTAAAAGACCAAAAAGTAGTGGGAAAAAGCACTGTAAAGTAAATAAGCTCAAAATTAGACTTGATTTGCAAAGACATTAAAAATTAAATAGAAAAGACAAGTAGAATAATCTCAAAATTAGAAATTTTCAAAGGAACAATACTATTAATTTAGCTAAGAACAATTTCTTCAAAAAGTGATGATGCAAGTCATCTTAAATGACTTGAATTCTAGGGCTGAAAATTGAGAAGTTGTGTATTAAGTAGCGTATATAAGGGAAACAACATGTTTAATCAGCTCAGCAAAAGAAGTCAATTGTTGATGCCTGCACTGACCATTGCTTTGACCTTTCACATTTAACTGTTGAACAGGAGCATTCTGGACTGTCAAAGCAGTGGGAGCAACCTGGTGTGGTTGCTGGTTTTTTTGATGTTGGGGTGAAGAAGATTTATTTTGCTACCTAATTGGAGTGGAGGTTAGGAGTGTATCACTGTGGAGGCGGTGGACTCTGAACTTGAGATTGATGGTAGCTTTGAGAGTCGAACTGAAGGCCTTGGATTCAGATTTTGTAGTAATAGGTTCATAAGCAGATTTTTTTTTTAAAAAGTTGAAGAACTTGATGGTCCAAAGAGAGAGTAAGAGAGAGGGAACTAAACTATTCATACATGCTCAATAACCTTGAAAACATTGATGTCAGTGCATCTCTTGCTAAAGCCAAATCAAGCAAGATTCATTGGTCAATGTTTTCAGAAAGTACAGAATGCAATTATGGCCTAACACTATATGGTCGAAGCAAACTCAATCAGTGAATGAGTTAGAGCTGCCTAAGAATTCTGCACCTGAGAAGAGTTATCTTTCTAGCCCAATTTCCAACTCGGCTGCAGAATATTTTAATCCATTTTACCGCTGATAATTATGGTTTCCAAGGCATCTTTAGAAGACCTTCCAGGCCCTAAGCCGTGACTTAAGATTGAGTCAATTAGTCATTTGGTCTCGTGTTTTTTTGGGTGATGCATAGTTCTGTCCTACCTGGGAACTTGTGTTGTTTGTTTAGAAATGTGTTAGGGCAGAACTACGCATCACCTAAATTGGTAAGACAGAACTACACATGACCTAAACTGACTATATTGATTAGCATCATTGTTGACAACCCAATTTCATGTAATGGCTCAATTATTACTTTGTGATGAATTTGATGATACAGGATGCATATGTGCATTAAACAGTTGAATAAAATTCATCAATTGATCAGTCCGTGAATAGAATGCTCACCGTGAATCATGATAACAAAATCTCATTCTGATTATATAAATCAACTAATTAAGGAAAATTTACTGAATTGTTTCTTGAATCTTCAAACATATTATTTATATATTAAACAAAATAAGTAAACCTTAAATTAGTATTTTAGATATTGAACTACAATATTTAGGACTTATTAAATTGCAATCTAATATGTTAATGATTTCAACATACAAAAACAATACCGCATTCATCCCCACAACTCCCCCCACCCCCACACACACACCCCATAAAAATAAAATAAAAAATCTGACTTGTCAAAAAATAAAAATAAAAAATCTTTTTTTTTTTTTTTTGATAAGTAAAAATAAAATAAAATAAAAAATCTAAGGTCATTTTCACCAAATACTATAAGCAGAATTTAAAATTAAAAGTTATATGAGCTGTACAACTCACCAACTCCGGTACATAGTCAACTCCTGCTTTAACCTTCAGACTCATGATCTTAAACTTAACCTTTTTCTTCTGATCTAATTGTTTCTCATTATTCTCCGGTGTTTCCACGAACTTAAACACTGCCAATCAGATTCAGAAAAAAATATGGAATTTCAAACAAAAATAAGAAACTGAACATACAACTCAACTCACGGCCATCCTACTATGTCCCCCAATCAAAATACAAAGTTAGGAACTTTAAGAACGAGATCATTACCAGTTGCAATAATGCTCTCTCCAGGAGCAAGGATACCACCAGGAGGTCGCATGTAACAGCTCTTTGGTGCAGTTGTTTGAAACTAACATGATGAACAACGACTTAGAATCACATTAGAGCAGGTGTGTAGCAAACAGGTCCAATATGCATTTTAAGCAGCCAGGTTTCCATGGTATAAATACAACATAATTGGGACAGTTGAGGATCAAATGTAGAAAAATGTTGTGAAAAAAAAAAAAAAAATCTCATAGATATTCAAATGTCCATAAATAGTCAAATCAATGACTCTTGAATTAAAATGATCTACATGTAAAAATGCAAAAAAAGCTATCATGGGCGGCCACTCTTCCCCAGTCGCTGGACTAAATGAAACCATCTCTAATGAACACTGAAAGGGGTACTCAGGGTCAGAGCTTCCTCACGAAAGACTTGCTCATAAAAAAGAATTTCAAATTTTAGGCATAAAAATAAAACATGTGTTTATATTACATTCTAACACTGTGTCTTAATATGCAACCCATTAACGAACAATTAATAAACAAATTTGTTTAACCAAAATAAAATCCAATACCTTGAAAGCAACATGAGATTTGCTATTATTCTTTATCCTAACAGCGCTCTTCACCTGCTTACCCGGTTCATCTTCAAAATACACAAAGGCAATGCAAACAATCAGCCAACCTTATATGCAGCAGGAGGAGTACACATCTATATATATTTGTTTGCACTTGCGTGTTTCTTAATTGGGAGGGTGAGATAAAAATAATAATAATAATAATAATAATAAAAATTGAATTGAAGGAGAAGATGACATTGATGGACCTCTTAGACTCCAAATTTTAGTTTCTTTCTATTTTCCTACATTCTATTAACAACCAAATGGATAAATGATATACAATTCGACCAAATTAATCATTTTTAATTGTGCCTTAGCAAATGAACCAACAAAATAGAATCTAAAAAAACCAATACTAGTTTATGGATACTGAGAATAGGATTAGTCCTTTCAATCAACTTTATCTATCGACAATCAGCACGAAAACAAAACAAACCAAAACGAAATTAAAGGAAAACGAAAAAAAAATCGCATATAACCAGCACGCACAGGGAAAGTAGAGGTTGTTCGACGGATCGAGACGTAGTCTACGCCTAGCTGGAAGGATCGATCTGGCCACTGAAGAAACCGAATTTGAAGGACGCGTGTTGGATCCGACACCGTCTTGGTGGCTCTGGTTCAGGTTGTGAAGGTTCTGTGTAGAAGAAGAGGACGAAGAAGACGTTCCTGATTGCCAGAACGGACAGAGCTTCCAGAGCTTCCCGTCCGAATTAGATTTGTGGCGGTCTGCTATCGCCATGGTTTCGCCGGAATCTGACCCACTTCCGGTGGATGGATTCTGAATTATGGGTTAAAGGTCTTCAGAGTTTTCAGAGTTCAGGTCGTCTCTCTCTCTCCCTCCCTGGAGTAGTTAGAAGGGGAAAGTGCACGGAAACGGATTGACGGACTCCAGAAGAGGATTTAACTGTAATTTTACTTTACTTCATGCGTTGTAACAACCGAGCACTGAAAAAACTTTTCTGTTTTTCACACTCACACATACACACATGTTCTTCATGCAATCACTCCAATTCATCTGCCTTATATAGATGTACATGAGATCACTTTGGTCCATTATTTTTAAAATATAAAAAACTATTAAAAAAAAGTTCTCAAATTCCGCCCTCGGCCATTGGACCCAGCTTTCTAATCAACTTAAGCACAAAGCTAATTTATAAGTATATTTTAAGGTTATGATTTCTTTCATATTCAACCTGTTTTATGCCTTACTCTTGAATTTAACCCAAATTTATAACCGCTAAAATGTGTGTGTATATGATTTATTCTCATGTCTTATTCAAAATTATAATATTTTTTAAAAAAAATATGTTAATGGTGTCGAATTTTAAAAAGGACTTCATAATTTATTATGAAACGCTTGTATTTCTCAGTCTCACCTACTTAAAACAATAGTGTATTTCCAATTTTACATGTTAGACAATTATAGAAAAAGTTCCTTGACCAGAAATAAGATAAAAATTTGGAACAAATCGGTCTCAGTAATACCCCAGAATGCAAGTTTAAAGTACAAGAAGAGTCTTCTTACTAAAGGAATTGCACCGCAATTACTAGATATGGAGGGGTGGTGTGGTGTGGTCATGAAAAATATCCAATAATGAGGACAAAGTGGTGGTGCTTGGAAGGGCGAATGGAAATGGAGGTAGTGTTGACGCGCCAAAAAAGGACACGTGGATGAGAATGTGGAAGAATTAGGTCTAGTTTTAATGGGGGGGTTTATACACGGCATTTACGTTTATCGGCGAGGTTTGTTGGTGTGGTTTAGTTGGTAGGTAGGAATTAATTAGATAATTAATGTGAGTCCATGTCATTTGGAATTTGAAATTAATGTGACACAAAGTGTGAATGAGGTTGTTATGTATTAGGTGGGTCTGCTCTTTTCATCTTTAAACAATTGGAGTTATTCTATTTGGTTATTGGATGGTTTTTTCTAATTTCTGCCATTCCATGCAATTGTCAAAATTATAATTTATCCAAGTACTTTTATTTAATACTGTGCAAGAAATATAAATTACTATACTTGTACTTGGTAAGATGATCATCCATTCATCCAACCCAAATTCAATGACATTCCGACATCATATTGCTGTGGGGTCTATCATTTTTAACTTTATTTATATTTGGCAAAGCTTTACCCAACTTAGTTCACGGTAAAATGAGTTTTTTAACCAGATATTAAACCGATTTTCAACTTCAATTCAAGAGCTATTTATAAAGTTTAAACAAATTTATTTCCTAACTCTCATGCTCACCCTGTATCTTTTTAAGTTATGTTCATGATTTTTAATTATAGTATAAATTAGAAAAAAAAAATTATAAACTGACTAATACGGCAAACCGATGATTATAATTTCTCCGTTTTCACTCTTTTTAAGAATCTAATTTTTCAAGAGTGTAATATATAATGTTTTTTTTTTTTTTTTTTTTAGTGGCATGTAATGAATTTTTAAACAGACCTTTTCATAGTGGGTCCACATCCCTTTTTATGAATTCAATGTAGAGCGAGTAAATTAGAAATATTAGAAAATAATACATTAGATTTTAAATTTAACAATTACTTTACAAAAGTAAAAAATGAAAAGATGCACATTTTTGTGAGTAGAACGAAGTAAAATTATGAAATGGTTTAATCATGGTACATAGCTGCATCCCTCCTTAAGGTCTAAGAACACCTCATGTACGGATTCCACCCAACTCTCCTTCCAAAATTTCCTCTTTTATTTAAATTAAAACATAAAAATTTATATCTCTGTTGGTTGGTGGTATCAATTATCATCTATCTCGATCTTCTTTCATTACCAAATTTGTGGGGCACCATAATTGATGCACCCTAATATTATCATGGTTTGTTAAGTTCAAAACCCACCCTCATAACTGCACCTTCAATTTTGTCATTCAAATAAAAATTAAAGAGACCCCCTTAATTAATAAAGCAGTCAAATCAAAAACATTTCAAAACACTCGTAACATTTAATAATACTCATATTTTACGACGTATAAGTGTTAACATTAAGTGGGGGGCATGCACAAACATATTAATAATTAATTTTGCACTTAAAAGGAAAAAGAAAAACGGGACACTGCCTCATCTAGTTGGGTCCCCAACAAATCAAGTGCATGAGAATTTCAGCCTTTTCTTCTCTCCTCCTCTTGTCATCGCCGGCCGTACTCTTCGCCGGAAAATTCATCCCTACATGGTTGGGCCTGCCGGATTCTGACACAGCATTTCTATTATGCTGCTGCGTGGTCTTGAATGCCACCTCAAATTTACATGCCCCGTCATTAGTGGTACCAGTACTCATTCCTTTCTCTATCTAACTTCTTGATGATGAGTGAGAAAATGCAGAGAGAGTAGTAAATAAAGTTATAAAGAAGTATGGAGAGAGTAGTTGTATCGACTATGGTGTGTTTGATCACTTGCAGAGGAGGTTGTTCGGTGATTGAATGATTTATATAGAGGCAGAGGAGAAAAAGTATTTCTGGAGGTTTCGCATGTTTTGGGGGGAAAAGCTAGAAAAAGGATTTTGAGCCGTTTGATTTTTATCAGTGGTTTTGTCCAAATCTGGTGGTGCCAGCCTCTGATTTATCACGGTCGTCCCCTCCATCAACGTCAATACACTAGCGTATTTACTTCTTTATTTACCGGAATTACCTTCTCCATCAAAGTTAAATCTGATTAATATCATGAACTACCAAATCAATTCATCGTGAATTGAACAATATCATTAAGTGTAATTTAGGCTTGTATATTACACTTACACCCCTAAAGTTAGGTGACATGAGAAGATCATTCTATTTGTCAGCTGCTTGACAATATACAAGCCTTTGTGACAAAAACAAGCAAGTGTTTAATCAAGAATAAATTTGTCTAATTATAAAATAATTTTTTATCAAAAAGATATTCACTTAATAAATCATGAAATGATTATTTGTTAGCATTCATGCTTTAAATTTGGTCACTATTCATTTTTTGCTAAAAAAAATTTGGGATCACTTTAGACCAATTATTTATATTTGATAACTAAAATTTAATTTTTTGTAAATAGTTTTGTAATACATTTAAATTAAATAAGCTAACCACTGTATTAAAACATAATCTGACCCAACTGAAAAGTAATGTTTGGGGTTCGAGTAAAATCGAAATAAATGTTCATAACATGAGTGATACATATTTTTGAAAGGTGCTTTGGTGTGTTATTTGTTCAGATTTTAATAATTAACTATTATCTATTTAATTATTATTATTGTTGTTGTAAAAGCATCTCAGTTTATCTTTTTACAGATGGGTAAATTATACACAGATAAAGGTTGTAACACAGATCATCCTGTGACCGACGGTCAAATAGTTACTAACGAATTATGGGAGGTCTAAGTAATTTTTCAAATTTTTTGTAATTATGACAAATCAAATGGAAGGTCAGACTAATTTAACCCTTATCAGATGGTATTTTTTCTCTGTTGTTTCCTGTTTTGTACCTAATAAAATAAAATAAGGATCAAGTACACAAAACACTACTAAAGTACTTACAGTGCATATCACACCCTTCACATGCAAAAAACACCCCTCAAATTTTAATTTGGTACAATTAGGTCCCACTGACACATTAAAAATATAAATTGACCAAATTTTCCTTACTGAACCATTTTATAAAATATATAAATATAAATTTTTTTTGTAAAAAGACGTGCTTTATTGACGTCATTTTGCACACCCTATTTACCCAAGTCATTTGCATCATCAGAGGGCCTTTGTGGAGAAGAAGCATAGACATGCCCTACAATGACAGTGAACTCTCGGCGAATGGATTGTGTTCTGGCAGCAGAGAAATGGGTCTTTGTTCATACCGGGGACAGCGGCGATGATGAAGAAGGGTGGAATAGGATGGTTCGGCGGCAGACTTATGGATGTGCTCAGAGAGGATGGTGGCGCATCAAACCAGACGAGCGTGAGTGATACTTAGGGTGACGCGTGAACGTGATGCGCCCTTACTGTTGGTACGAGTAGATCTAACGCGCATTTGTTGTCGGTGTGTGTAGATTGTGATGTCTATCGCTGTAACTCCAACGGCAGCCAGCATGACTACAAGCTTGTGATGATGTGCTTGAACGATGAGTAAAGAAGATGGAACAATCGATCGGCGGTGGTTTTGATGGGGAAGACGAGTTGCAGTTGGTAGGGATGGTAATTTGATCCGCCCTCGCGGTTACCCGCACTGCCCCTCCCCGTTTTGGTAGTTTTGGAAGACCGTTTAGCTTATTTAGGCGGAGATGATTTGATGTAATAAAAACCCGCGCGGGTTTGGTGCGGGGGCTGGGGAAAGTCGCCCCGCATTGCCCCGCCCCGTTTAGATAGGCAAATTACATAAATACCTTTATTTCATTAGTATATATATTTCCCGGTATATATATTAAGTATCATATATAACAATATTAAAGTAACAAATGAATTTGATTAAAATGAAAGTTGCAATGGTGACAGGGACGGGGGTGGAGTTTTTAAACGGTTGCGGGGGCGGGGGAGGGTACACCCGCCCCCGTTGCCATCCCTAGCAGTTGGTCTTCTCTGGTTCGGGTGGCCAGTGGCGAAGAGATGATTGCGTCTGTGAGAAGCTGATGACGCGTGGCTGCTGGTGCGAAAGTGGTGGTCCGTTTGTGATGTGGATGTGACGGCTGTAATACCCCTAATTTTAAAAGGATAGTCTCGGCATTTATTTATTATTTTTATTATATTTTTGCATGATTATTTGGTTTAATTATTTTATTTAATTGTTTACCTATGTGACATGTATTTAATTGGTATTTATCTATTTGTTTAATTGCATTTTATTTTATTTTATTGATTATTTCATTTAATTGTTTATTTAATTGCGTTTTAATTATTGGATGTAATTGTTTTCTTTAAATAGAATTAATTATTTTTCTTGAAATTGATTTAAGTGTTAAATGATTTAATTTAGTATAAATGGATTTTCTATAATTAGAGTTTTATGTTAGTAGGATTAATTAAGGGTCTTGGTTTTAGAAGTCACGTATGTAGCCGACATAATTAAGCATTAATTAGGTTTCATATGGGCCGACTAAGGATTTAGTTTAGGGTTTAAATTAAACTAGGGTTT